GAGGCCTCTTGGGCCGTCTTGGGGCGATCTTGGGGGCCCCTTTGCGCCGTCTTGGAACGGCGGGAAGTGGAAAAGGCGAGAACGCCTAAATCTTAAAGCAGCCAACGGCAAATCGGGGCGTCCTGAAGGCCTGGACAGTCTCGAGGGCGTGAAGGCGTTTGGACCGATTGGTTGGCGATAAGGGACCCTCTTGGACAGTCTCGGGGGCCTCTAGTGACACTCTTGGCCTTTCTTGGTGCTCTCTGAGACCCTAGGACTCCCAGGGGGGATGCGTATCTGTGACCCCGCCCTTCCCCCCCAAGCCGCCCCGCGGGACCTCCACCGGGACACCCCACAGGACCCCCCTGGCGACCCACCCCCCTCCCCCGGCGTGGAGGGGATCAAAGGGAGGGGGTTTTCTTTCGACTCGATTACGACATTTCTAGATTTGTCTCGCTGATTGTATCATCTCTTTTTGTTTGTGTTTCTTATTGTTATTGTGTTTCTTCTTACTATTATGTTTATATTGTATTTGTTCTTGTCATCGCTACCAGAAGCATTAGCATTGTTATCATTCGTCTTCTTACGTCTTCTTTGTGTGTTTGTCCTCTTCGTCTTCTTCCTCTTTCCTCCTCCTTCTCCTCCTCCTTGTCCTCCTCCTCCCTCGTCCTCAGACCCCCCACATTGTGATTACTCGGCGCCGTCGGCCCCAGGGCAGGGTTTTCGTCGCGGGCCGCTTCTCGATGACCCCGTGGCCCGAAGGCAGCCCCCGCAGGCCGAAATCGATGCAAACCCGTTTTTTTGGTTTTTGTTCGCGACGCCTGGAGGTCCTGGTCGTCGTCGTCGTTGTCGACGGCCTCCTCCTCCTGCTCCTCCCCGTTCTTTTCCTCAATGGATGCGAAGAGGAACACCAACTGCATAGACATTCGCTGTCGGAGGTCCGCTCTGATTTCTCGGATCAGCGCCCAGCCCCCTTAGTGGCGCCTTCGACGCCGACGACGACGCCGACGCCGACGACATCGACGAAACCAACGACGCCGACGACGCCTCTTCGCGCAGGACGGGTCCATCGTCATGGTGGGCAGCATGGGTTTTCGGTGGTTCAAGAATGGGTTTCTGAGGGAGGGGGTCGTAAGGACGAGGTGATCATACAATCCACATGCACCCTTGGATCCCTTTCCGTTCTTAGGGCCCCATCCATAAGGACCCCATCTTTGAACCGCCGAGGTGCGTGGTGGGCGGACCCTAAGAATCTCATGGTGGATTTCGGCGTGCCACCGCCCAACATCCGAGGGGCCTGCGCCCGCGTGCCCGCTCGGCCCTGGGAGCCATATTGACTCTTTGCCGATCCGAGTCGTTTCGGCCTCGGGGCTTCCGACTCCGGTTCGGTTCGGCTGCAGGCAGCAGGAGAGAGGAAGCAGGGGGGAGGAAAGGATGAGAGGGAGGAGAGGAGAGAGAGAGGCGCGCGCGACGACGACGACCGGACGACGACGATGCTCGCCTCCGCCGCGCCGGCTTCGGCTTGGACCTCGCGTATGCCTCGTCTCGGGCCGACGGTCGTCGATTCCGAGGCCGTTCGGTCTGCCTGCCGATCTCTGACGGTCGACTCGATGTTCAGGTCCGACTTAGGGATATCCTGCTCGGCCCAGCCAGGATGCCCTGGAAAGGGCCCTGCGCTCTGGAGGGGTCGAGGAGCTGACGTCCCCAGACCTCGGGTGTCATGTGAGCATTCCAGAAAGGCCTTCGCCTTCGAGGATCGCAGGAGTCGCCATCTCTTCGGCGGAAGGCCGCGGAAGTGCGTCGGGAGCTGGCGGAAGTAAGACGGGGCCGCCTCCGCGGGCGGAAGGCCGGCGGGAGCCGGCGGAAGTAGAAGATGCGCCCCCAAGAGATGGCAGTCTTTTCTGGTTTCAGGGGATCCAAAATCAACCATGCGTTCGATCCCGGGGCTTTTCTGGCTCTCGATTTCGGCCTCGTAGAGCCAGCAGGGAAGGGCCCGGGACGAGAAGGTGTCCTTGGGGAAATGCGTCGGGACCTGCCCGCGGGCGAGCAAAGTATTCCGTCCGAAAACTGGGCCGAAGGACTGGGAAGGTAACCTTTCTTCAGAGCTCCGAGTCATCTTGGGTGGGGGGGTGTCGGGGGTAGCTACAGATTCGCGCATCGGGGGCCCAAGCCTGATTTACTGAGGACCGCACTTGCCCCGGAGAATTCGGGCGTCCACTCCCTCTCTTTCCCAGCGGAAGGTGCGCGGAAGCGGGCGGAAGTGAAGCGATGGCTGCTCTGCTGGCGCACGCAGGCGGCAACATGTGATAGCCCCCAAATCGGTCAACAACTTCCCGATTCTGGTTTTCTGGGGCGGGCCAGCGCGTCGTTAAAACAGCCCAACCTGCACGTTTTGAAACCAGAGGCCGTTTCTTGGCCCTGGGGCCCTCCAAATACAGCTCGCAGCGAAAGAGAAATCCCTGGAAAGGCGTCGGGAGCTCCAGCGGCCGACGATTGAAAAAAACAAAAAACTCGTCGGAGTGTCTGGAGGGAAAAGGGATTTCGCAGCGAGGGAGATTTCCTTGGGGAAAGTAGTCGGGAGCCCCAGCGGCCGACGACCTGATAAGATAGAACTGTCGGTCGTCTTCTGGTGGGGTGAGGAGTGGTTCTGCTTTTTTGCTCTCTGCATGGGCCTCGGGGATCCTCGTGGCCGCAGCTGGGCGCGGCCCGAATGATGGGCCAGGAACGTGTCCGAGGGGGACGCGGCCGCCTGCGCATTTCCCGTGGCGAAGGCCCTCCATGCCTGAGACCGCCTGCCGTTCTCCGCCTCCTCCTCCTCCTCCTCCTCCTCCTCCTCCTCCTCCTCCTGTTCGTCCTCGTTCTCGTCCTCCTCCTGGGAAGCAGGGCCCGCTCGGGCAAGTCCCAGCGGCGGCAGGGCGGGCGCCGGGGGGGGGGGGAAGACCATGACACATACAGTGGAGGCCACCACCACGAGGAGCACACGCGAGCACACACTCTGGGAGGTCCGCGGTGGCTTCCTGGATCTACGCGGCCCCCCCCCCGCTGGCGGCTGGGCGCCGTCTCACGGCACGCTCCGCGCGCCGGGCGCCTGGGGGGCGGTCTGGAGTCCAGGGCCGATCAGAGAGACAGCCACGAGCCCGGGAGGAACTCCAGGAGCTCACGCTGATGCAGTGCAGTGGAAGTGCACGCCAAGAAACATCCTGCTTGCCTCCAGGGTGCCCTGGGGTTCTTGGGCTTCGAGGGTTTTGCCATGGAAAGCGTGGCGTTCCCACACTAGGAATCAATGGACGTCCTGGTGTCTCAGGGTTGGGTTTCTTGTGGAAGGTTTCTCGTGGTCGAGACTCAACTGTGTAAAACAGGTCGCGGAGGACCAAAAGGAAACGACCACCCTTCCCTGCACAGTCGCATTTGTTCGGCACCCGTGCAGGGTTTGTTCGCTGCGCTGAAGGATTCGGGTTCGTGTCCGGGTTTAGGGGGGTGCAGCAGGCTTGTAGGGACTGTGTCCAGGTTTATTCTGGAGATGCTGCAGTGCAGTATTTTGTTTGTGCCACCGTCAGGAAAATTTAGGGGACCGAAGAATGACATAAACATAAACTCGGAGGTCCGCGCGGATTTCTCGGATCGTCGCTGGACCCCCTCCCTGGCGCGCGGAGCGCGCCAGGGGCGGCGCCGGAGGCGCCGCCGGGAGGGCCCAGCGCCGATCCGAGAAATCCGCGCGGACCTCCGAGTTTTTATGTTTAGTCTTATTTTTTGTTCCCCTGAAATTGCTTTCGAGGGATGTTGGGTATCCAGGTCTAGCGTGTCCGGGCTCACGGGGCCCTGATCGACCCAGACGTCCAGGCGTCGGGGAAGAGAGCGTGGCGCCTCGTCGCCGTCGTCGTCGTCGTCGTTTTTGCCGTCGTCGATGTCGTCGTCTTTGCCGTCGTCGTCATCGTCGTTGCCGTCGTCGTCGTCGTCGTTGTCGTCGTCGTCGTCGTCTTTGTCGTTTTTGTCGTCTTTGTCGTTGTCGTCGCCGCCGTCGTCGGCGTCGTCGTGTCGGCTTCCGGGGGCGGCGGTCTCTGGGCCCCGGGGCCATCAGAGAGTGCCGGCGACGATCAGCCAGTCCCAGGGATTGGATTCCGATCCGGGGATCGATTGCACAATCGACCTGTCCCATCGTTGATTCTTGGTCGAATCTACAGGAATGCCCAGAATGCTCTTCGGGACGCTCTACGTTTGTTTGTTGCAGACTCGTCGAGCAGCTCAATCCTGGGGCAGATCGGTTCAGTAGCCGATCCCGGGCTCGAGGGTTGAAGGCTCCCGCGTGCCGCGGGGGGCTTGGCTGTCCCTGTTGGTCCGTAGGGATCGACAGTCCAGGGTTCGCCAGGGAGTGGCTTCCTTCCAAAACAACCCCGAAACCCTGCGGAAACCCGCCACGAGCCCTCCAGGGAAGGGCTCTGGGAGGCTTGTTGGAGGGTTTCGGGGGGTTTGGGAAGGTTTTTCGTCGTTTGGGGGGGAAAACCAGTCTTAAGCCGGGCGTGTCCCTCTACAGGAGGAATATCCAAAAATAGTAAAAAATAGTGTGGGGACGATTTTTGTATTATTCTGACAATTTTGGTGTATGTTTTCGAATATGTTTTTCCCCCCAGAATCCGCCTGTAGGAGGACACGCCCGACTTAAAACCAGTCCCTTGCGAACCGTATTGTGATCGTAGGGGGGGCCTCGGGGCACTTTTTGAAGCCGCCCGCGGGCTCACGCGTGCACCATGTCCCCGGGGCCCAGGCGGAGGAGGAGGAGGAGGAGAAGGAGGAGGACCTCCTCATCCTCCCTTCTCCCCTGTCCTACATCTGGTAGCGGTGGTAGAAAATCTGCCCATTATATGATCCGGAAGTTTGGCTTGGCGTCTCGCGCAGCCAGTTCTGGCCCACCACGTTTCGGCGGAGGGGGGGAGGAGAAGGAGGGGAAGGGTCCCCTTCAGGGCCAGGTGCGCCATGAGGGCCGGCGGATCAGCCAGGTGCCGTTCGAGAAACGCCGCGTGTACATGTCAAAGGGCGTGTACGACGTCAGCAAGTATGCTGGCGTGTGCTTCGCCAACCTGCTCAGGACCAAGGTCATCAGCAGGAATATCAAAGTCAACGTCATGACGCCCGGTCTCGTCTCCACGGAGATCAACCAGAACAATGCCGACTACAAGGAGATCGCAGGATTCTCCGTAAGCCCTGAGGAGGCGGGCTTTCCTGTGCCCTTGCCACCCGACAGGTTGGGGTTGTCAGACGTATGACAAGAGCTCCCAGCCCGCCTCGCACACCCCCGCATACCGCGGCCGCCAGGCCCCAAGGGTGCCGGTGCTCCCTGGGTGTCCCGTCTCGTGCCTTCGACGAGGCTTACAGTGTGCCGGTGCTCCCTAGGGGTTCCGCGGCGCCTTCTCGGGTGGGGATCGTTCGGAGCAAAGCGACTTGTTTGTGCTGTTTTTCGTGGCTCTCGCAGTTGTATGACCTGTCAAAATGAAAAGGCGGGCCGCGCGCTGTTTGAGACCTCGTTCGTCACGCGACCCACGGAGTTCGTCTACCCCTACTGGTTCCCCCCGGACGTCATGAGGTCGGAGGCGCCCGTGAAGTACGCTCCGCGGTTTAAGGGCTCCCCGACGTGCAAGCATTATCGAAGAGGCCTACGGCGAATCACCGCCGCCCCCAGCCTGTTGGAATCGCCCATGTGGCCGAGCGTTGTGACAAGAGCTCGGCCAAGCTATCGGACCATGGTTTACCCCAGCCGTTGCACCTTTCGCGGAATTTTTGGGGGAGGATGGCGGGGAAGATCAGGAGGATGAGGAGGAGGAGGAGGAGGAGGAGGAGGAGGAAAAAGGAGGGGGCATCTTGGGATCCTCGGGGGGCACTCTTGGGGCCTCCTGGGAGCTTCCTGGGAGCCTCTTGGAGGCATCTTGGGTACCTTCTTGGACCCCTTTAGGGCCTGGGGGGCTTCTCGGGGGCCTCTTTGGCCGTCTCAGGGCATTCCTGGCTCGTCTGATGACGTCGGAAGCCGTCTTGGGGGCCCCTCTGGGCCGACGTGGGGCCCTCTTGGGGTGCTCCGGGGCCGTCTTGCAGACCATCTTGGGCGTCTTGGAGGCCTCTTGGGCAGTCTTGGGGCCATCTTGGGGCCGTGTTGCGGGCCTCTTGGGGCCGTGTTGGGCTGTTCTGGGGCCATCGTGGAGGCCTCTTGGACGATCTTGGGGCGATCTTTGGGGGCTCTTGGGCCGTCTCGGGCCATCGGAAGGCCGAAAATAAGCAAATGCCAGAATCCTTCATAAACCTATGGGAAATTAATGGTGCTGGAGGCCTTTGGGGGGCCTCTTGGGCCGTCTTGGGTCATCTTGGAGCCATCTTGAGCCGTCTTGGTGGGCTCCTAGCCCGTTTGACGCCGTCGGAAGCCGTCTTTGGGGCCTCTCCGGGCCGACTGAGCGACCTCTTGGGGTGCTGCAGGCCCGTTTTGGATGCCATCTTGGGCGTCTTAAAGACCCCTTGAGCCGTCTTGGGCCATCTTGGACCCATCTTGGGCCATCTTGGTGGGCTCCAAGCCCTTTTGGTGCCGTCGGAAGCCGTTTTGGGCCCTCTCCAGGCCGACTGAGCGACTTCTTGGGGTGCTGCAGGGCCGTGTTGGATGCCATCTTGGGCGTCTTGGAGACCTCTTGGGCGGTCTTGGGGCTCCTTTGGGGCCGTCTTGGGGGCCTCTTGGGCCGTTTTGGGGCCATCTCTTGGACGATCTTTGGGGGCTCTGGGGCCGTCTCGGGCCGTCAGAAGGCCGAAAAGGAGCAAATGCCAAAATCCTTTATAAACCTGTAGGGGATTAATTGTGTTGGTCTCTTCGGGCATTCCTGGAGTCTTGGAGGCCTCTTGGGCGCCTCTTGGGCAGTCTTGGGCCGTCGTGGAGTGTTCTTGGGCGGACTTGGAAGTACCTTGGACCCTCTTGGGCAGTCTTGGAGGCCATCTTGGAGGCACCTTGGAGGCCATCTTGGCCTTCTTGGAGGCATCTTGGAGTCCAGTTGGGGCCATCTTGGGCGTGAAAGGAATTGACTGGCGCAGTTTGCGGTCCCTTCTGGGTGGCCGGTTGGACGGGCTGGAGCCCCAGGGGAGAATTCGATTGGAAAAAGAACCAACGCCCTAACCGAAAGGATCCAGCAACGCCAGGCACCCTTGTGTCAAGCACAAGGGGCGGCGGATCGAAGACGCCTACGGCGAATCACCGCCGCCCCCTGCCTTTTTGGAAGCGCCTATGTGGCCGAACGTTAAGGCCAGACCTGCCAAGCTATCGGAACATGTGTTCCCCGAATCGGTTTGGGAAGCCTTCGGGAAATACGTGGGCATCTTGAAGGTCATCTTGGCCGTGTGGAGAGGCTATTTTGACCCTTCGGGCCTTCTTGGAGGTCGTCTTGGAAGGCTCTTGGGCCGTCTTGGGCCGTCTTGGGGCCGTCTTGGGCCTGTTGGGCGATCTTTGGGGGCACTTGGGCCGTCTCGGACCGTCGGAAGGCAGAACAAAAAGCAAATGCCACAATCCTACAAACAACTCATGGGGAATCGCTGATTTTTGCCTTTTCGGACCTTCCTGGAGGCCCTCTTGGGGGCCTCTTGGGCCATCTTAGGGCCATGTTCGGCCGTCTTGGTGGACTCCTAGTCCGTCCGTCGCCGTCGGGAGCCGTTTGGGGGGCCTCTATGGGCCGACTTGGGGCCCTCTTGGAATGCTCCAGGGTCGTTTTGGAGGGAGACCATCTTGGGCGTCTTGAAAGCCTCTTGGTCCGTCTTGGGGGCCTCTTGGGGCCGTGTTGGGGGCTTCTTGGGCCGTTCTGGGGCCGTCTTGGAGGCCGCCTGGGCGATCTTTCGGAGATCTTTGGGGGCTCTTGGGCCGTCTCGGGCTGTCGGAAGGCCATTTTGACCCTTCGGGCCTTCTTGGAGGACGTCTTGGAGGGCTCTTGGGTCGTCTTGGAGGCCATCTTGAGCGTCTTGGGGACCTCTTGGGCCGTCTTGGGGGCCGCTTGGGGCCGTGTCTTGGGCCTCTTGGGCGATCTTTGGGGGCACTTGGGCCGTCTCGGGCCGTCGGAAAGCCGAAACGAAGCAAACGCCCAAATCCTTCAAAAACCAATCGGACATCAAGTATGTTGTTTTTGTTTCGGCCCTTCCTGGAGGCCCTCTTGGAGGCCTCTTGGGCCATCTTAGGGCCATGTTCGCCCGTCGTGGTGGGTTCCTGGTCCGTCTGACGCCGTCGGAATTCGTTTGGCGGGCTTCTATGGGCCGACGTGGGGCCCTCTTGGAATGCTCCAGGGCCATCTTGGAGGGATGCCATCTTGGGCGTCTTAAAGGCCTCCTGTGCAGTCTTGGGGGCCTCTTGGGGTCGTCTTGGGGCCCTCTTGGGCCGTTCTGGGGCCATCTTGGAGGCCTCTTGGGCGATCGCTCGGCGATCTTTGGGGGCTCTTGGGCCGTCTCGGGCCGTCGGAAGGCTGAAAAGAAGCACATGTCAAGTCAAAATCCGTCAAACACCTAAGGCAAATCAATGTTTTTTGGCATCTTGAGGCCCTCTTGGGGGCCTCTTGGGCCGTCTTGGGCCAGCTTCGAGCCAACTTCGGCCATCTTGGTGGGTTCCTGGCACGTCTGACGCCGTCGGGAGCCGTCTTGGAGGCCTTTGTGGACCGTCTTGGGGCCCTCTTGGGGCGCTTCGGGGCCGTCTTGGAGGCCATCTTGGCCGTCTTGGAGGCCATCTTGGGAGTGTTGGAGGCCTCTTGGGCTGTCTTGGGGCCCTCTTGGGGCCGTCTTGGAGGCCACTTGGGCCATCATGGGGCCCTCTTGGGGGCCTCTTGGGCGATCTTGGGGGCCTCTTGGGCCGTCTTGGGCCGTCGGAAAGCCGAGAAGGTGCAAATGCCAAAATCCTAAAATAAGAGACAAGGCAAATCAATGATGTTGGCCTCTTCGGGCCTTCCTATAGGACGTCTTGGAGGGCTCTTGGGCCGTCTTGGAGGCCTCTTGCGGGCCTTTTGGGCCGTCGTAGACCATCTTGAGGCCATCTTGGGCCGTCTTGGGTGCATCTTGGAGCCATCTTAGACGTCTTTGAGGCCATCTTGGCTGTCTTGGAGGCATCTTGGAGGCCATCCTGGGCCATCTTGGCCGTCTTGGAGGCCATCTTGGGCCAACTTGGGGCAACAAAGGCATTGACGGATGGATTTTCGGGAATCTCCCGGGACCCCGGCGGGACAGGCCGAAGCCCCAGGGTGAGTTCTTTTCCGGGCAACAAACCAAAACCAAAAGCCATATCATCCGGCACGCCAGGCCCCCCTTTGATAAATCAAAAGGGGGCGGCGGATCGAAGACGCCTACGGCGAATCACCGCCGCCCCCGCCTTGTTGGAAGCGCCTATGTGGCCGAACGTTGAGGCCAGACCTGCCAAGCTATCGGACCATGTGTTCCCCGAATCGGTTTCGGGGAGCACGTGGGCATTTTGAAGGTCATCTTGGCCGTCTGGAGGCCATTTTGACCCTTTGGGGCCTTCTTGGAGGACGTCTTGGAGGGCTCTTGGGCCGTCTTGGAGGCCATCTTGAGCGTCTTGGAGACCTCTTGGGCCGTCTTGGGGCCTCTTGGGGCCGTGTCTTGGGCCTCTTGGGCGATCTTTGGGGGCACTTGGGCCGTCTCGGGCCGTCGGAAAGCCGAAACGAAGCAAATGCCAAAATCTTTCAAAAACCAATGGGAAATCAATGACTTTTGCCTTGTCGGACCTTCCTGGAGGCCCTCTTGGGGGCCTCTTGGGCCGTCTTGGGCCATCTTAGGGCCATGTTCGCCCGTCTTGGTGGACTCCTGGTCCGTCTGACGCCGTCGGGGGCCGTTTGGGGGGCCCCTATGGGCCGACTTGGGGCCCTCTTGGAATGCTCCAGGGCCGTTTTGGAAGCCATCTTGGGCGTCTTAAAGGTCTCCTGTGCCGTCTTGGGGGCCTCTTGGGGCCGTCTGAGGTCCTCTTGGGCCGTTCTGGGGCCATCTTGGAGGCCTCTTGGGCGATCTTTGGGCGATCTTTGGGGGCTCTAGGGCCGTCTCGGGCCGTCGGACTGCCGAAACGAAGCAAATGCCACAATCTTTCAAAAACCAATGGGAGATCAATGATTTTGGCCTCTTCTGGCCTTCCTGGAGGCCCTCTTGGGGGCCTCTTGGGCCGTCTTGGGCCAGCTTCGAGCCAACTTCGGCCATCTTGGTGGGTTCCTGGCACGTCTGACGCCGTCGGGAGCCGTCTTGGAGGCCTTTGTGGACCGACTTGGGGCCTTCTTGGGGCGCTTCGGGGCCGTCTTGGAGGCCATCTTGGCCGTCTTGGAGGCCATCTTGGGAGTGTTGGAGGCCGTCTTGGGGCCCTCTTGGGGCCGTCTTGGAGGCCTCTTGGGCCGTCACGGGGCCCTCTTGTTGGCCTCTTGGGGGATCTTGGGGCGATCTTGGGGGTCTCTTGGGCCGTCTGGGGCCGTCGGAATGCCGAGAAGAAGCACATGCCCAAATCCTTCAAAAACCTAGGGAATATTCATGATGTTGGCCTCCTCGGGGCTTCCTGTAGGACCTTTTGGAGGCCTCTTGGGCCGTCTTGGAGGCCTCTTGGGGGCCTCTTGGGGCCTCTTGGGCCATCTTCAGGCTATCTTAGGCCGTCTGGGGTACATCTTGGGCCGTCTTGGAGGCATCTTGGAGCCATCTGAGCCGTCTTGGAGGCCATCTTGGCCGTCTTGGAGGCCATCTTGGAGCCGTCTGGAGCAGGAGAAGCCTGTGCAACCGGCTTTTTCGGCAATCTCCCGGGACCCCGGCGGGACGGGCCGAAGCCCCACGGGGGAGCTCTTTTGGAAAAGGAGCCGAAACCAAAGCCCATATAGTCTGGCAGGCCGGGCACCCTTTTGGTACATCAAAAGGGGGCGGCGGATGGAAGACGCCTACGGCGAATCACCGCCGCCCCCTGCCTTTTTGGGAGCGCCTATGTGGCCGAACGTTGAGGCCAGACCTGCCAAGCCATCGGACCATATGTTCCCCGAATCGGTTTGGAATGCCTTCGGGGAACACGTGGGCATCTTGAAGGTCATCTTGGCCGTCTTGGAGGCCTCTTGGGCGATCTTTCGGCGATCTTTGGGGGCTCTAGGGCCGTCTCGGGCAGTCGGAAGGCCGAAAAGAAGCAAATGTCAAAATCCGTCAAAACCTCAGGAACGTCAATGTTTTTGGCCTCTTCTGGCCTTCCTGGAGGCTCTCTTGGGGGCCTCTTGGGCCGTCTTGGGCCAGCTTCGAGCCAACTTCGGCCATCTTGGTGGGTTCCTGGCACGTCTGACGCTGTCGGGAGCCGTCTTGGAGGCCTTTCTGGGCCAACGGGGGACCCTCTTGGGGCGCTTCGGGGCCGTCTTGGAGGCCATCTTGGAGGCCATCTTGGGCGTGTTGGAGGCCTCTTGGGCCGTCTTGGGGCCGTCTTGGAGGCCACTTGGGCCGTCATGGGGCCATCTTGGGCGATCTTGGGGCGATCTTGGGGGTCTCTTGGGCCGTCTGGGGCCGTCGGAATGCCAAGAAGAAGCAAATGCCCAAATCCTTCAAAAACCTAAGGAATATTAATGGTTTTGGCCTCTTCGGGCCCGCCTGGAGGACCTCTTGGAGGCCTCTTGGGCCGTCTTGGAGGCCTCTTGGGGGCCTCTTGGAGGCCACTTGGGCCGTCATGGGGCCCTCTTGGGCGATCTTGGGCGATCTTGGTGGGTTCCTGGCACGTCTGACGCCGTCGGGAGCCGTCTTGGAGGCCTTTATGGGCCGACTTGGGGCCCTCTTGGGCCGTCTTGGAGGCCGTCTTGGACCATCTTGGGCGGACTTGGAGGCCATCTTGGAGGACATCTTGACCATCTTGGACGCCATCTTGAGCCGTCTTGGAGGATTGTTTGTGCACGTTGGGGTCCTGGGCAATCCTCCCGGGACCCCGGCGGGACGGGCCGAAGCGCCAGGGGGAGCCCTTTTGGAAAAAGAACCAAAACCGAGAAGATCCAGCACGCCAGGCACCCAAGCGATGAATCGACAGGGGGCGGCGGATCCAGTGGCTTTCGGCCCACCCCGCCATCGTGCCTGGGATGTCCGTCAGAGGCCCATTTCATGCATGGGAGGATCTACTCCCAGGGACGCCATGGCCGCCCAGGGACACCCAGAAGTAGGGGTGATGCACGCGACTGGGCGCGACGTGAGGGGTGGGTGGGCCCTTTGGGAGACTACAGAAACCCTGCCAGAGAGCGCTTCGCATTCCTCCACGCCTTGACGTGCCAGGAGGCACGCTGGCGGATAAACACGAGGAGCCCAAGGACTGGCTGTGGCGGCCAGAGAAGTTCCAGAGGTACCGCTACCGGCTCCACGCGTCCGTGGCCCCAGAGTGCAATTCAACCACCCAGCAGGCGCGCTCAAGGGTGGCGCGGAGGCAACGACGGGGGGGGGGCAGACATAGGGGGCGGTGCATCGACCCCCGATCGCCCATGGGTCGCCGATGGGGCCCGATAGCCCCATTCTGCCCAGGAACGTGCGCACTTGCCATCGGGGACCTATCGCCGATGTATCTGCGGTGTGTCGCCGATTCCAGGTCGTTGCCCCTCCGTGGCGCGCTCAAGGGGGGTGTGGCGTGGGGGCGTCCCTCTAAGGGGGCAGGGAGTCTCTGCGGTAGCAAATTACGGGAGCCGTGCACGCCCTCGCAAGCTTGTCTTTAGAGTGCGCAAGCCTTGATCAGCATCTGGTAGTCGATAAGGCAGCGCCGATTTAGCGCCGATTAGCCTCGAGTAGCGTCCGTCGACCTCTTGTCGGCTCACGTCGATCAGCGGTGACCAGCGCTGATTCGCAAAAGCCAACAAGATGGCATGAAAGGCTCCTGTGAGTTGCCACAAACATCTCCTGAGAAGGTGTCACAGGCTGCTTAGAGTCCCTCTCAGCAGGTAGGAGGGCTTCGTAGAGGCCCCCCCCCTCGCCGCACCCTCTTGCGCGGCGCGCGCGCCGCCAAGGCTTTATGGTACTGGAGCCGAAACGCGGTGGATTTGCCAGAGAGGCTGGACGACGGTGACATTTTCGAAGACCTCCCTGACCTTTGGGGCTCTCGTTCTCCGAAATTTGGCAAAGGCCGTGGTGGCAGGTAGTTCTGAGAAGTCAAATTTGCCTGCAGACTGTAGTCACGCATTTTCCAAAGGCATCGCCAGGAAGCTTTGTATATATGAAGGCTGTTTTTTTCGGGCATTGCCTGTACGCTTTGCAATTCGGGCACCGCCAGTAAGCCTTGCAATGCCGCGTCCACCCAGCGAGTTCAGTGACTCATCAGGACTGTTGCCTGCAGGAGTGTTCCCGCTGGGGAGGAAAAGCAACCCGACGAAGCATCATCATGACCTTCCTCCTTTCACCCTCCGTAGCCATTTTGGCTCAAGGGGCGCCCTGATCCGCATCCGTTCGGTGCTGTTCAGGGGCAGAGGGAAACATACCTTTAGCGGTAGCCGTTCGGAGACAGGATGCCGACGCCTGGAACAATTGGGGTTGCTATCAAAGGCGGGGCTGGCACCGTTTCGATTCCAGGAGATAAGTTTGCCGAGAGTTGTTCTCTACTTCGCACTGGCGACATCGATGGAGCAGCCGCAGCCCAAGCCCTGGAGAGTGCAGCAGAGGTCGTGGAGCTGGGCGGCATGTCCACATTTGCAGATGGTGCGTTCATCCCACAATTGGGAGACGAAGTGCAGGCATTGCCAGGCCAGCGATTTGAAGGCAAGCTGGGGGTGTACTACGAGCCTGGTCTCTTCAAAACCCTACAAGGATGACGATGGAGACGAGTGTATCAAGATCACCTGGTACAACAGTGGCTTTACCAACAATTCAATGGTGCAGTCGTGGATGAACAGCATGAGAATCACAGAGAAGGCACGTCCAATCGTTCTGGGAGATGAAGTGGAGGCCTTACCCAACTCGCGGTTCGAAGGCAAGAATGGTGTATATTACGAGCCTGGGGACAGGGGCCGGGTCTCTTCAGGAGTGTTCAAGGACAGTGATGGAGACGAGTGCATCAAGGTCACGTGGTACACATCTGGGAGGACTAACGACGAGATTGCGATGTATTGGATGAAGAGCTTCAAGCTGGTGACGAACGAGGGTGCGCTTATCTCTGATGTGCTCCAAGATAAGATGGAGTAGGCCATGAAGGACCAGAACGTGCTGCCAGGCAAGCCGGCCGAACTCATCAGCGGGCAGCCCAAGAGTGCAGCCATGGGCCTGTATCACTATATGCGGGTGAAAGACCCGTTCGCCGCAGACAACGCGGACAGCATAGAGCACGAAGTGAAGGAGTTCGTTAGGAAGCTCAAGGACAATGCCGTTCTGTTGGGCTTCCTGGAGAAAGCTCCAGAGGATTCTGATAAGATCGAGGCCATTTATGGTGCTGAGCAGATCGCAAAGGCGAAAGACGATATCTCCTACTTCAAGACAATAGCCCGTTTGCCCAATGATGCCACTCCGTTGAACGTCGCTGCCAAGGTTTCGGACGAGGTTCAAGGTAATCTCGAGTATATATTGTACCAGCGCTGCAGCCAAGTATATGTAGAAGGTCCTAATGCAATCCGGGATGCTGGCCGTGGACCGGTAAACCTTGATGATTTTTTGGGGCACGCCAACGTGCAAGATGCCGAGCTTACGGAAGCGCATGTGGTGGCTTTGCGATTTTACACGACTCCAGCTTTCAAGTATTTGAATTCCCCTTTACGGAGCACGTTTTTTTACGATAAGGGTAAGTCTCATCCACTTCCTAAAACGGTGGCTTACATTTCAGAGGGTATCAAGAAGCTTCGAGCCTCGTACGCCATCAAGGTCGAGGCCGGAACCGCGACATCAAAACTTGTCCTTTGGCGAGGGTTGAAAAACATGGCCCTGCCTAAAGTTTTTTTGACAAACCAGAAGGGGGGCACAGAACTTGCCCCAATGTCGACAACGACAGACTTGTCAGTGACGACAAAGTATGCGTGCAGCGGAGAGTCCGTGATGCTGAAGATCTGTTTGGACAATTTCATGCAGTATGGTGCCGATCTTCAGTGGCTGTCAGCCTTCCCAGGTGAAGAAGAGGTGCTCTATCCACCCTTGACATATTTGCAGCCTACAGCCCGCGAGCCTCAAGTGGTTCAGCTCAGCACTGGTCACAAGTTCACCGTCTACGAAGTCAAACCTACCATTCCCTGACCAACAGAAGACGAATGCCATTGTCGTGGCGGTGCTGGTCACCGTCCATATTCTCGACGAGCTGTGAGTGTCTTGCCGCGTTTGCTGCCAGCCTCGCACCTTCGTAAATTTCAGAGGCGATGGAGGCCACACCGATTGGCGATCTTCTCGATCTCGCCATCCCCGTACCGCTCTTCCCGCTCCTCCTCCGACTCTCCTTCTCCGTCCCCCCTTCGGTCTTCTTCGAGGGTCAAACATCTCGGGCCGCTACTGTGTCGTCGCATGCAAAAAAAATGACCTTCCTCCTTTCACCCTTCGACTAGAACCAAGGGCCAGCAAGACGTAACATCGAACACCCGTGCCAGAAGTAAATCCATGCAAAGAGAGACGAGCCAATCTACCTCGTGGTCAGGGGGCTTCTTGTCTTTTGGCTCTGTTGGGTTGGATAGGGAAAGGTAGGGTTACGAAATCTGCTGCGTGTAGCTGGTTTCGGTCCCGCCGCTGGGAGGCGCAGGGAAAACCATCTACTTGAGCTGATTCGCTCACTCTCCTTTGAATAGCTCCCCCTTTCGTTCGTTCCAAGGGTCGTCCGTACGCGCCGGGGTTTGCAATGGCAGCGCCCTGCGCGTCGTCCGGCGAATTGCACAGTCGTGTGCGAAGGGCTCCTTGTAGCAGGCCGGCCCTTTCCCTTTCTGCTTATCTTCCCGACCCCCCTCCAGCCATCGATCGTCTTGTCGTGGCTGGAAAAAGAAGCCAGGCCAATTCGCCGCCTTCCAACTGATGGGAAGGGGATTCCGCCATCAATCGCGGCTGGCCTTGGGCCCCTTTCTGGGGGAAAAATAGTATGCGTGTTCAGCCGCGGCGTCCTCGGACTCAGCGCATGCTTCAATTGTTCAAGGAGGAGGAGGTGGAGAGAGTTGTCACGGAAGGGTGTCGTGACGGAAGGTTGCAGTTTTGTTGTTTCCGAGCGCGCGCACATGCTATTGAAGCGTCGTGTTCTTTGGCCAGCCTCGTTCGAAAAACGTCCACATGGCCTTCCAAGGCCCTTGCGTCCTTACCGCGCATTCTCTGATTATACGGGATGGCCGTAACACTATTCATCGGGTCCTCTGTCCCACGCTGCGGCGCAGCATGGCTGCGGTGATATGCAGTGCTCGAGGGTGGGATCGCATGGGCGCGGAGAGTGTACAAAAACGACCCCCCCTCCGCGTCCAGAGGAAGCGGGATGGAGGGCGAGGGTTGTAGGTTCCAGGTGTGGCGCGCCAGGAATCCAGCGCGTCCCACGAAAGAGAGAGAGAGAGAGAGGGAAAAAAAAAACAAGAAAAGAAAGACACAAAAAAACGGCACTTGTTCCGTCGGCGGCGAGGTAGAGGCGGTTCGCTCCAGCGTGTGGCTATTCGGGTCCACCGAAAGGCTAATTGGCCGGCGTGCACGAGGGAGGGAAGAAGACGAGAGCGGCCGCGCGGGGGAAGGAGGAGGGGAAAGCGCTCAGACGTGGAAGAGTTCCGCGTCGAGAGAGCTGGAGCGGCCGACTGAGAGAGCAAGCGACACATCCCAGGGCGAACATCGAGCAATCCGCATTTGCCGCCGGGCGTCCTGCTCTCCGCGTCTGCGCACGCGTGGCACAGCTCGGCGCCTAACTTGTGCAGAACAGGGGAAGAGGAGGAGGTGGAGGAGGAGGTGGAGGAGGAGGAGGAGGGGGAAGAGGAGGAGGAGCAGGTGGAGGTGGAGGAGGAGGACGAAGGCGAGGAGAGAGGGAGGAGGAGGAGGAGGAGGAGGAGGAGGAGGAGCAGGAGGGAGGGGGAGGAGGAGGAGGAGGAGGAGGAGGAGGAGGTGTTAGAACATAATGTTACGACTGGGTGAGAAGCTACGTCGTCAGTAGTTTTACTATGTGTGTCGAGCGGCCATCTTTACCGACGCCGTTTGGCTCGGGTTTTTGACCCGTGGAGTTGGCGCCCTTCTTGCCCACGGTTCAAACCATCACATCGCTCCAGTGCAGGAAGCGGTGCCCAAGGTGCCAGGGCTGTTGCCGAGAGGGGGCAGTCACCCTGAGGCGCCTCTTGCAGAGCTTGGTGAAGCGCCCCCTGTTACCCCTGCTACCGTCGGTGTTGCTCGTGCCAGTCCGCCGAAGCGCGAGAAGTCCGTCGCTGCCCAGATAGGCGAGCGTCCCAGGAGCAATGGCGAAGCCTCTCGTAGTTGGGGCGATGCCCCGTTACCTCCACCTCCCGCTCTCAAGCTCGCGCACGCTCTCATCTGCAACGCCCGAGGAAAGGGCGAAGGTATGGGCAATCGAAATGATCGAGCGTTATTGTGATCCTTAGTTGCGCAGCGCAGGGGTCGAAGATGAGGATTTCTCGCTGAGCGACCCCAACTTAGTTGAACGTCCGGGCCCTCGCCGTTGGTCAGTGGAAGCTGCTCGTGACGTTTGGGATAACTTCTGCGGATCGCGGATTGGTCGGTGTACCCAAAGGATGTTCGAAGAGGTTAGCGGCTAGGAGAAGTTCTCAGGATGACCGCGGATCTCTGAGAATAGTTACAGGTTCTGGTTCTGCGCCGCCGATCGGCGGTGCCAATGCCGCTCCTGGAGGGTGAGGGGCCAATCAAGCGGTCGTAGGCGGGCCACACACGATGCATGGCTAGTTCAAGTCAGCTATGTGCAATTCAAGCTACTTCAAGACTTCGTTGCATTTTTTGCAGCCAGCTGCCCTGAACAGGACACTCACGCATCTCGATCGGATCATTCCTGTTAACATGAGTCACCGAGTTTCCAAACACGCTCATCCATGACGGCGCCGGAATCCCAGAAGATGACAAATGCTTGAGTTCGGAAACACGTTCGGCATGCTTTGAGGCGGCAGCCCGACGGTGCTCGGCTTCAAGGCTCTCTATTCAGAGTCACGCAGCAATCACGGTGCGATCAGCTTCACAGCGGTTGTTATTGGATCCGCGACGGAGGAATTGGCCGAGCTCTTCATCCAGTTAGCTGGTGGTTGGGTTGTCAATGTGAGCAGTGCGACCCGCCCTCGCAGCCATCGATAAATGCAGAACGCCACGACAGGGACGGATGCGCCAGAAATTACTCGGGCCTGACCACGCTCAAGCTCGAGTGACCCCGGGAGCTCCGCACCATTAACCCGCGCGCGCGCGCCTTTCTGTTGAAGAATCCGCGGGCCAGGCACAGGGGCCAGGTTAGGCATGGGACCACTTGTTGGCAGGCGTGGGTGCTCACGGTGGATCTCGATCTGTGGTTGAAACGCTGTCGTTGGTTGGTCGGCCCCAGCCCGGGGATTGAGTTAGCAAGGGCGAGGTGTGCTGGAGAAGTCGGCTCTCCTTGTTACCTCAGGCATCCAGATCGTTCCTTCTGAGGCGCCATGCGTATGCACGACAATGTGATTGACAAGACCATCGAGATGCAGCGTGCAAGCGACCATGGCCGCTGAGTGATCGACGATGAGTTCAGGAATGCGCTGATGAGCGAGACGTTCTGTGAAGCGCAAGACGCGGTTCACCAGCTGCCGGTGTGCACGTCCAGCGACGCCCCGGACTATGATAGGCAGGCAGGTGGTCGTGCTCCCACGCCTCCCAGGAGTGCTCCAGGCAGGCACCAGCGGTGGGCAGACAATCTTCACACTCTGTCCTTCCTCTTGCTATGTAGCGTCAGTGCTGAACATGTTACACCCCATCCATATATATATATATATATATGCATCTACGGTGCATAGTCATGGTGTGTCCCATGCTGCCCGGCGCCCGCACGTTTACGCCCAAATCCGAACCGCCTCTTTATCTATGCCGTCAAGGCAGCTCGCAACCAACGCCAATGTATGCAATCTGCCCCATCACATCACGTTGAAGACCCGACGAAGACTAGCCACCGCGGCAAGCGGGCACCGTGTCCAAAGCTTACGGTAGGTTGGCTCGGCGTCGGCGCGCGCAAAGGTTGTTGACACCGCGTCGATCGTTCAACCTTGAGTCGATCGCGGCCTCGATCGTTCAAGGTTGAATTCCGTCGAGTCCAGTGGCGTCACCGTGTCCCTCGGTGCCTCCGCGTCGCAGAATTGATCCTTGAACGCCGTCGCTGGCGCCGCCGGCGCACCATCGCCGCACGAACCTACCGTACTCCCTTCATTCAGTCCCTTTTTCACCTTGCATCTCCCCGTGTCCACATTCGACTTACCAGCCGAAGGGGGGTGTGATCATAAAGTTTTGAGGCTTGGTGAAAGGCCATGCGCTGCCAGTAACTTCGGTACAGTTGTCGAGAGGCCGTCGTTGCCGACGCCGCTCGGCTCAAGTATTTGACCCCGTGGAGTTGTCGCCCTTCTGGCCCACGGTCGAATCCAGCACGGCGATCCCGCGCAGTTCCTTCTCCAGAAACTGCAGGAGGCAGGAGGAGAAACAAGACGAGGAGGTAGGGAGAGAGAGATACAGAGTTAGAAAGTCCAGGGTTAGCTAGGGATTGGTTTCCTTCCGAAACAGCCGAAATCTTCCCGAAACCGTGCGAAAACCTCCGGGAAGGGTTCCGGGAGGGTTTTCGGAGGGTTTCGGGAGGGAAACCAGTCCCTAGCGAACCCTGGGCGTTCTATATATATATATATATTGATATTGAGAGAGAGAGAGAGAGAGAGAGAGAAACAAAAAAAATGAGAGAAAGCGAGAGAAAGCGAGACAGCGAGAAGAGATCCCCTCCTCCTCCTAGACCTTCTCCCTCCTCCCTCCTGCCTCCTCTGGCCCGCCGCAGCCCAGGCCTTCGCAGCGCCCCCCGCGAGCCGCGGCCCAGCCCGGGGCGCGCCGGGAGCGACAGGCGGGCCCCCGCGGCTGCCGGCCGCGGCCGCCGCCGTCCGCTGCGGCTGCTGCTACGTCTGCTGCTGCTGCTGCTGCGTCTGCTGCTGCTGCTGCTGCTGCTGCTGCTGCTGCTGCTGCTGCTGCTGCTGCTGCTATGCGTGTCAAGAGACTGTTTTTTCAGGGTCTGGCGATCATCCAGGTTATCGGGCTTGCCCCCCTCCCCCTCCCCCACAGGATAA